AGGTCACAGACACAGTCCGTTCCTTCTAATTGGCTCACTGCATTCTGTGATGCTCCGTGCCAGGGAGGGGGGTTCACCCCCGCGCTCTCTGTGCAAGAAGACCCTCCCCGGTGGGCGGGCGCCTCTTCCTCCCAACGCCGCCTTCAGCCACCTCGGCTTAGGGGCCTGAAGTTAGCCCTGCGGGGGCAGCTTCTGCCCAGCACCCGCCTGCACGACCCTGAGAATAGTGCGCCTGGCGGGGTGGAGAGTGGGGGCAGGCGGGCCCCCAACTCACCCCAGCCCACCCGCAGACGAGGAGCTCTACGCCGGCGTGTACATCGATTTTATGGGCACGGACGCGGCCATCTTCCGCACGCTGGGAAAGCAGACGGCCATGCGTACGGATCAGTACAACTCCCGGTGGCTCAATGGTGAGCTCAGCCTGCGGCGTGTGGGACTGGGCGAGGGGCAGTTTCTGGCCAGGCTGGGCGCCGCATGGGGAGGGGCGGCTCACGCAGCGCCCCCTCCACGCCCCCCGCAGACCCCGCCTTCATCCACGCGGAGCTCATCCCCGACAGCGCCGAGCGCAACGACGACAAGCTGTACTTCTTCTTCCGCGAGCGGTCGGCAGAGGCGCCGCAGAACCCCGCCGTGTACGCCCGCATCGGGCGCATCTGCCTGGTAGGCCTTGGCGGCCGGTGCCCGGCGCGGGGCCGGCGGGGAGGGCACTGCTCTGACTCGGCCCCTGCACCCGCCCCAGAATGACGACGGCGGCCACTGCTGCCTGGTGAACAAGTGGAGCACGTTCCTGAAGGCGCGGCTCGTCTGCTCCGTGCCGGGCGAGGATGGCATCGAGACGCACTTCGACGAACTGCGTGAGTGCCCAGCTGCGGAGGCGGGGCGGCCGGGCGGCCTGGGCCCCTCCGCCAGCCCCTGCCTAAGGCGCCCTCCCGGTACCTTCCCCCTCCGTCCCCAGAGGACGTGTTTGTCCAGCAGACTCAGGACGTGAGGAACCCAGTCATCTACGCCGTCTTCACCTCCTCAGGGTGAGGCTGGGGTCGCTGGTTGGGATGCACCCGCCTGGGGGAGAGCCGTGGAGCTGGTGGGGGTCGGGGTCCGGGAGGAGCCCTGGGCCAGGGTCTGCCCCTCCAGCACCAGCCTGCTGCCCGCAGCTCCGTGTTCCGCGGCTCCGCTGTCTGTGTCTACTCCATGGCTGACATCCGCATGGTCTTCAACGGGCCCTTTGCCCACAAGGAGGGCCCCAACTACCAGTGGATGCCCTTCTCGGGGAAGATGCCTTACCCCCGGCCTGGCACGGTACGGACCCCTCGGCCCGCCCCTCCATGTCCTCTCCTCCTGCGAGGCTCGGTCAGGGTCAGGCCCTTGGCAGGCTTGGACCACCCATCCTGGAGCTCATGGACAGTTGTGGGGTAGACTGTACACCATTCACCCAAGGCATGGGGCAAACCAGGAAGGGACCAGCAAGGTGCACAGGGCTGCCCCCCAGAGGCAAGCCCTGTTAGGGAGCTCAGAGGCAGAGGGCAGAGGCAGGAGGCAGCTCAGTGGCCAGCAGCAGGCAGGGCCAGGCCAGCGTGGTCTCTACAGCGACAGGAGGCGTTTGCTGTATCCTGCAGTGACCTGGGCTGCTGCAGGTGTCTAAGCAGAAACGGGCCCACAGGAGTCAGGGGTGACGCCCGCAGAGGGGAGCTTCAAGTCAGGGTGGAGGGGCACTCAGCAGGCTAAGCCTGGACAGAGAGCACGGGTCGGGGGCTGCCCGGTGTGTGAGGGGCGCTCTGGGCCTGTGGTCAGCTGTGTGGGCAGGACAGGGCGAGCCTGGAGGGGCCGCCAGACAGGAAGAGGCTCATGAGCGGGTGCCAATGGCAGATGAGGTCCCTTCTGCCAGAAGCTGCCCCCAGGTCAAGGGGCTGGGGATGTGGTCCTGTGAGATGAGACCTTGGCCAGAGCAGGGCCTGCAAAGAGGGCAGGTGTAGGGCCGGGAGCAGGAGAGCAACAGGGCGAGGTACTGGGGACAGGCCCTGTGGAGGCCTCCTGAGGCCCAGGCAGCGTGGCTGATGCCCATCCCCCACCTACAGTGTCCTGGCGGAACCTTCACCCCGTCCATGAAGTCCACCAAGGACTACCCTGACGAAGTCATCAACTTCATGCGCAGCCACCCCCTCATGTACCAGGCCGTGTACCCTCTGCAGCGCCGGCCCCTGGTGGTCCGCACGGGGGCACCCTACCGACTCACCACTGTCGCGGTGGACCAGGTGGATGCGGCCGACGGGCGCTATGAGGTGCTTTTCCTGGGCACAGGTACCCACTGCTGCTCGCGGCCCTTCCCACACTGGGCCCCCGGGGTAGGGGTGCTACTAGGGGGTAAAACAGCTCGTCAAGGTCCAGTCTGGTCACTTTATCCTTTGGAGCCTTCTCCCTATGTGGGAACAACAGACTAGGGGTGGGAGAACCCTGTTGCCATCGCCATCTTCAGGGACCCAGGAGGGTGGGGGCCCTGGGCACCTGGGACCCCTGCGTGGCAGGAAAGGGGTGGAGACAGATGGCAGACCCCTGCGGGCTACACCGGCCCAAGTACTGACACGCAGGCTTGTGTGTGCACTCCCACAAAAGTGCACCTTTCCCCAGTCCCGCCAGCCCCCACACAGGGGACCGTCCCCGGCTCAGCAGGGCCCCGAATGAGAGTCTGGGTTGGGGGCAGCCCAACCCTTCAACCTGGGCACGGCGTGGCTCCACCCCCTTCGGGGGAGGGGGCCTGGGCCCTGGTAGGGAAGGGGCTGAGGCTGGTGCCTCTTCCCCAGCATCCCCAGCCCCACTGAGGCCCTGCCCGGCCCGTTCCAGACCGCGGGACAGTGCAGAAGGTCATCGTGCTGCCCAAGGACGACCAGGAGGTGGAAGAGCTCATGCTGGAGGAGGTGGAGGTCTTCAAGGTGGGTGTGGTGCCGCCCAGTCCTGTCTTCCCCACCAGGGCCCTCGCCACTCCCCGCCCCTGGCCTCCGACCCCCAGGCCAGAGCAGGGAGGGGCTCCCTTGTTGACCTCTGTCTCCTTCCAGGACCCAGCACCTGTTAAGACCATGACCATCTCTTCCAAGAGGGTGAGTGGCTAGGCGGGCAGGGGTGGCCGTGGCATCTGCTTCAAGGACGGGGAAACTGAGACCTGGAACGAGGAGGAGGAGGAGCTGCTGAGGACTGGCTGTGGGGTGGGAGCTGACAGGTCCCTGCCTCACCCCCAGCAACAACTCTACGTGGCCTCAGCCGTGGGCGTCACACACCTGAGCTTGCACCGCTGCCAGGCCTATGGGGCTGCCTGTGCCGACTGCTGCCTCGCCCGGGACCCCTACTGCGCCTGGGATGGCCAGGCCTGCTCCCGCTACACAGCATCCTCCAAGAGGTACAGGCCTTCAGACCCTGGGGAGTTCTAGACCCTGTCCTGGGGTGTGGCGGCTACCCTGGGCAGGGTACTGAAATCTGGAGGGTACTGAGACCTGGGTGGGGGGCAAGCGCCCTGGGAGCACTGTGTCAGGAGCTGTCCTCCCCAGGCGGAGCCGCCGGCAGGACGTGCGGCATGGGAATCCCATCAGGCAGTGCCGGGGGTTCAACTCCAATGGTGAGTGCGCTGGTGTCCCCCACGCGGCACAGCCCGCCAGGCCCAGGGAGCTGCGCACAGGGCCCCCGTCAGCTCCGATTCTCAGACAGCTGGTGGGGAGTGAGTGGCCCTAGGGTTTTGAAGCCAGGCTGTCCCTGGCCGCCCCCTTGGGAAGTGGCTGCCCTGCCTCTGTGAGCCCCCATCCCCTTCCAGCCAGCAGACTGCCTGGGGCGGTCCTGTTTTGCGCACTCAGCAACCCCTGTGCTCCACAGCCAACAAGAATGCCGTGGAGTCGGTGCAATATGGTGTGGTGGGCAGTGCCACCTTCCTGGAGTGCCAGCCCCGCTCGCCCCAAGCCACGGTTAAGTGGCTCTTCCAGCGAGATCCCGGCGACCGGCGCCGAGAGGTGAGTCCGCTGCCCCACAGCCCTGCCCCGCGGATGTGGAAGTACCTTGTACAGAGAAAGTCCAGGTGGGCAGCCCTGGTTCCGACGCCTGCCTCCACGGAACTCACCGCTCCGTGAGACAGGCCTCGGGCTGCAGGAACATTGCGCATGCGCGCCCCATGGCACTGTCACGTGAGCCAGCTGCAGCTTAGAGCGAGGCTGTGAGTCGGCTGTGGAGCGTGGAACTGCCCTCCCATGCGCTCAGGAGCAGTGCGCGCGCGTGCACACTCCCCTCCCCAGAGTCCCTTCTGGAGTGAAGCCTGTGTCCATCCCCTAGTGCTCCCGGGAGCTCTTGCGATGTGGATGCCTCACCTGGGTTTTCTTGGCTTATGGACGCTCCGCTGGATGCCCCTGCCTGGAGTGGCCCCCGGGGTGGGCTGCTGTTGGTGGTGCTAGGGCAGCGTGGGGGTGGGGGAGGCTCCTACAGCCCCTGAGCCCCGCCCCCTGCCCCTGCAGATCCGCGCAGAGGACCGCTTCCTGCGCACGGAGCAGGGCTTGCTGCTTCGCGCCCTGCAGCTCGGTGACCGCGGCCTCTACTCCTGCACAGCCACTGAGAACAACTTCAAGCACGTCGTCGCGCGGGTGCAGCTGCACGTGCTGGGCCGGGAAGCCGTCCATGCCGCCCTCTTCCCGTCACTGGCTGTGAGCGCCCCGCCGCCTCCCGGCGCAGGCCCCCCCACGCCTCCTTACCAGGAGCTGGCCCAGCTACTGGCCCAGCCAGAAGTGGGCCTCATCCACCAGTACTGCCAGGGTTACTGGCGTCACGTGCCTCCCAGCCCCAGGGAGGCCCCAGGGGCACCCAGGCCTCCGGAGCCCCAGGACCAGAACAAGCCTCGGAGCCGCCGGCACCATCCTCCGGACACCTGAGGCTAGCCGCCCGCGCCCTGCGAGGGGCCAGCCCAGCCCTCATCCCTTTTAATATAAAAGATATATATATATATAAATATAAAATATCTATATTCTATACACACCCTGCCCCGTCAAAGACAGTATTTATTGGTGGGTTGTACATAGTGCGCCTCGGCGGCGGCATCCAGAACTCGGACCTGTGCTGGTCGAGACCGCAGAGAACTGAGCTGCCTCACCAGGCCCAGCAAGATGGCAGGGCCAGGCCAGAACTACACAGTCCCCAGACTCAGCTGCAAGTCTGCTTGCTCTGCGGCCACGGCCCAAGACCTCCAGGACCCAGGGAGGGAGCGAGCCCCACTTGTGGGGGCATGGACTGCACGCCTGTGCCGTGGCCTGGACCTGGACGGGAGCGCTGCTTTGGAGACTGGGGGTGAGGGGTGGGGGCTCAGGTGTGCTCGGAGAGGGGAAGACGGGGCTGCCGCCGGATGCCGGTCCCCGCCTGGGTTGAGGGCACTCGGTGGAAGCAGCCCTTCCCGGGTATTTATTCTCTATTTATTGGGGACAGGAGAGGAGCCCTGCCTAGGTAGGGCTGTACCGTGATCCCTGCTCCGGCCTGGCCAGGGCAGGGTGGCCCCACTCTGCCTCCTCGGCTGCTGCTGTGCCCCCTGGACTGAGCAAATAGCAGAGGGGTGAGGCGTAGGCAGCCCTGGAGGCAGAGGGGGCCGTGGTGGAGGCCTGGGGCCTGCCGGCGCCCCCCAACACTCCTTTCTGCCCACCACTGCAGGCGATGGGTGTAAATAGCTCTGGGGGGCCCGGCAGGGGCTCCTGGTAGCCCTCTGCTCCCCAGACCACAGCCGCCCTTGGGTGCCATCTTGCTAATAAACACTGGCTCTGGGACTGAACGTCGGCTTCTCTCTTGGGTGGGGGGTGTGCGTATCTTATTCTTTTAAAATCTATTTTGGCCTCATACATCTCATGCTGGACAAATAGCACACTTTTTACCCCAGGGTGCACATGAGCAGGAAGCTGGGATCAGAAGTAGAGCCGGCACCAGAACTCACGCACCTGCCCACTGTGGAATGTGGCGTCCAAGTGGCATTCGACGGCTGTGCCCAGTGCTCAGCCTGGCCGCAGGACTTGGAGCCACACCCAGTGGCACAGGGAGCAACGGGGGGAACTGGGGGGCAGAGGGTGGCCCCACTTTGGGGGAAACCAGGTTGGGCTTCCAGGACCTGGGAGTGCGGATGGAGCTGAGGATGAAATTGGCACAAATTAAATCATTTCCCGGCCACATCCCCGCTCACCCACCAAGGTGGGTGTGGACACAAGAGCCACTTCCTGTTCGGGGACAGCCCCCAGGGCTCCGTGTCTGGGGCCCTGGCACCCCCTCGTGGTCTCTGCACCAGTTGAGTCCCAACAGGCAGGCAGCTTCCAGAGGGAGAGGCCAGCCAGGGGGCTCAGGGCCTCTGGGGGGGCCCTTGAGGCCTACATTGGGGTTTCCTGATGGCTGTCGGGGAGTGTCCAGCCTGAAGTGCTCAACAGGGCACCCAAAGTGCCCACAGGAGACAGCAGGGCAGCACCAGACCTGCTCCGGGATTCTGTGTCCCCGTGTGACCACAGGCCCCGCCACCTCTGCAGGTCTGAGACTGTTGTGTCCAAATGCACACGCAGGCGTAGGCATAGGCACTGTGTGCCCCTGTAAACAGCACACACAGGCTCCTTGGCATTCGCGTAGGCATGCACCACACGCGTGAACCCACAGGATACCTTTGCACCTGAAGAGACACGCACACAGGTGCCGCCACACACATGCACATCCATGTACTGGCAGGCACAGGACACTCATGTGGAAGAGCCCATGCACTTCACACAGGCATGGGACGTGCACACATGCACCCCTGTCCTGTCGTTGCCTTGCTTGGAGCCACACGCGGCCAGGCTCACGCAGCAGAGTCCGGCGGACGCATGGACGTGTGCGGAGGTCCTGCCCTCTGTGGGGCAGTGCAGTGCTCCCCTTCCTCCTCCTAACTCCCTGCAGGGCTCTGCTCCAAGCCACCTGGCTCTCCACACGCACCACCTGCTGAGTGGCCCTTTGAGCCTCTGCTGGGCAGGTGTAGGTGCCCCACGCCTGCTTCTGCCTCCCTGCCCCCAGGGCTGGAGGACCCGTGCTTCCCTTTTGGAGCGCCAACCCTCTTGAAGGTGTCTCCTTGCTCTGGGGTGGAGGCAGGGCCGTGTCTAGGATCCTTCCTGGAGGGCTGGGGAGGGGACACAGGGGTGCAGAGTCAGCGGTGCGAGGATTGGGGCCACGCCAGCCTGATTAGAAAGGTTGGGGGACTGAGCTGGATTCACCTGTCCTTGTCTCTGATTGGCTCTTGGGCACTCCTAGCCCCCAAATCCCACTAAGCAGCCCCCCCTCCCAGGGCCCCCACAAGTCTGCAGAGAGCCATTTGATTGCCAGTCCCAGGACCAGAAAGGCAGCAGGGGAGGCCAGAGGCTGGCCTGAGCCTGGCTCTTAGGACCCCCTGCGTCCAGAAGAACTGCCTGCCCACTCTGTGCCCTCAGCTGTTGTTGGAACATGGGGGCCGGGGCCAGTGCCGAGGAGAAGCACTCCAGGGAGCTGGAGAAGAAGTTGAAAGAGGACGCGGAGAAGGATGCTCGGACGGTGAAGCTGCTGCTGCTGGGTAGGGCCCCGCGGGGCATCAGTGGTGGGGTGGTGGCCTGGGCACAGAGCAGGAACCCTGGCCAGGGCAGGGCACAGGGCAGGAACCCTGGCCACGCATTCCCGGAGGCTGGGCATCCATGGAGAACCTCTCCAGAGGGCCCCGCCTCGGGAAGTTGCCACTCCCCAGGGGTGTGTGCCAAGTTCACTCTGACCCAGTGTGTGCAGAAGGCACACTCTGGTCCCTGCCTGCGCCCTCACACTCCAGCCTTGGGTTTGGTGGGCCTGCTGGGCAGAGCTCAGGAACTAGGGGCCTCACTGGGAGCCCCACATCCAGCTGCTCCCTTGGGAAGGAGGCCACCATCCCCCAGGGAGTAGGGTGACTCCAGGACCATCTGGATTTACAAAAATGGTCCCCAGGTGCCAGGGCAAAGCAGGTGGAGGGGTGTGGAAGGTTAACAAAGCCTAGGCCATGGTTCCATGGATAGTGTAGCGAGGGGAGGTGGGACTGATCCAGGCCTGCCCCAAGGCCACTGCCAATCCCCCACCACCACCACCAAGGGAAAGGACCTGCATTAAGAGAAAGGGGCAGACTCCACCCAGTCAAGCTGGAGGTATCCGGAGAGACCAAGCCGGGTTAGAGGAGGCAGAGAGGCTAAGCCGGAAATCCCATTAACTATGTCCAAGGCCCTCGCGGGGACAGGATCAGAAAGGATGTCAGCTCTGTCCTCTCTCCCACCCAAAGGCGCTAATTCTCTCTGAGCCTCTTGGAGCCCGCCCACCTTCCTTGTGGAGAAAAACAGGGGGTGACCCGGCTCAAATTATCCCGCGCGGGCAGCACCAGAGATGCCCACAAGGTGGCGCTCCAGGATTAGCTTGGTCTCAGCATACTACAGGCGGCAGGTCTCGGAGACCCGCGCGCACAGTGGTCGTCACCGGTCCCCCTCGTAGGCCTCTTTTGCTCACTTTCCTGACATCTACATGCGGCCTTCCACCAGGGCGTCGGTACTTGACTTTGTATCGGGGCGGGGGGGCGGGTCAGGGGTGACTGGGGTCGGCCGGCAGGTCCACCCGTCCACCCCACGCTCGGCGTCGGGACCAGGGGACACTGGGCGCTGCTCTGAGGCATGGCCTCCCTTTCAGGTGCTGGTGAGTCCGGGAAGAGCACCATCGTCAAGCAGATGAAGTGAGTGCCCTCGCCCGGCCTGGGGTCCCGCGGTGGGGATGGGCGCGCGTGCGCCTCACCGCCGGCCCCACAGGCCGCTGACCCTGCTCGCCCTGGCCACAGGATTATCCACCAGGACGGGTACTCTCTGGAAGAGTGCCTGGAGTTCATCGCCATCATCTATGGCAATACGCTACAGTCCATCTTGGCCATCGTGCGCGCCATGACCACACTCAACATCCAGTACGGAGACTCTGCGCGCCAGGTGCGCTGGGAACGGGCGGAGCGGGACTTGGGTGGGGGTGGGGGGCTCGGGGCGCGCGCGGCGGGGCCCTGGTGGCCACCGACGCCTCGCGCCCTGCCCGCAGGACGACGCCCGCAAGCTGATGCACATGGCAGACACCATCGAGGAAGGCACGATGCCCAAGGAGATGTCGGACATCATCCAGCGGCTGTGGAAGGACTCGGGTATCCAGGCCTGCTTCGAGCGCGCCTCCGAGTACCAGCTCAACGACTCGGCGGGCTAGTGAGCGCGGGCGGCTCGGGGCGCGGGCACGGGCGGGCCCTGCCCTGGGGCGCCGCGCCGCCCGCGCGCCCACACGCCGGCTCTCCGCAGCTACCTCTCGGACCTGGAGCGCCTGGTGACCCCGGGCTACGTGCCCACCGAGCAGGACGTGCTGCGCTCGCGAGTCAAGACCACCGGCATCATCGAGACACAGTTCTCCTTCAAGGACCTCAACTTCCGGTACGACGGCGCGGCTGCGCGGAGCGCGGGGCACCGGGCGGCGCTGGGAGGCGCGGGGCGGGGGCGGCGGTGCGCGCGCGGCCCCCGGGGCGCCGAGGCGCGGGCTCAGGCTCCCGCCGCCGCCGGCGCTGTTGCCCCGCAGGATGTTCGACGTGGGCGGGCAGCGCTCGGAGCGCAAGAAGTGGATCCATTGCTTCGAGGGCGTGACCTGCATCATCTTCATCGCGGCGCTCAGCGCCTACGACATGGTGCTGGTGGAGGACGACGAGGTGGTGAGTGCCCGGCGGGGCCCGGGGCCGACGCGGGGGCAGCGCGGAGGCCGCCGCCGGCCCCCCCGGTGCCCGACAGCCGCTGCCCGCCCCGCCCCCCGCAGAACCGCATGCACGAGAGCCTGCACCTGTTCAACAGCATCTGTAACCACCGCTACTTCGCCACCACGTCCATCGTGCTCTTCCTGAACAAGAAGGACGTCTTCTCCGAGAAGATCAAGAAGGCCCACCTCAGCATCTGCTTCCCGGACTACGACGGTGCGCGGCGCGGCGCGGGGCGGCCTCTGGGCGGCGTCCAGGGCCCGCGGTCCGGGCCGGGAGTGAGACCCGCGCGCTCTCCACAGGGCCCAACACCTACGAGGACGCGGGCAACTACATCAAGGTGCAGTTCCTGGAGCTCAATATGCGTCGCGACGTCAAGGAGATCTACTCCCACATGACGTGCGCCACCGACACACAGAACGTCAAGTTCGTCTTCGACGCCGTCACCGACATCATCATCAAGGAGAACCTCAAAGACTGCGGCCTCTTCTGAGGTGGGGTCCCCGCCGGCCGGGCTGCCGCCCGCCCCTCCACTGTAGTCCCCAGGCCCCCAGCTCCCCAGCCCACCCTGCTCCCAAACTCCAGCCTCCAGTACTTCCGGGCCGCACCCCCCCCCCCCACATGGCCTGCGCTCAACCATCCGGGGTGTCACAGCTTCCGGGGCCACACAGCCTGAACGCATTCATTTGAAGCTCAGGGACGCTGACCCCTTCCCTTGTCTTCCCAGAAGCCTGAACGCGAGCCCCGGGACCCTGTAGCTCTAGCCGCCTTGTAGCCTCCAGCCCCCAGAACCCTCCCAGCCCCCCAGGACTGCTGGGCCCCAGCCCGCCGCCTGCCGCCTCACCAACCACAGACTCCAAGCGCTGAGCCCTGCCTCGCCCCAAGTGCAGACCCTCCCTCACGCCCCCAGCCCAGCCCTGTATCACAGCCTGGTGGCACTGTTCTCTCGGACACACAGCGGCCAGCCCCAGCTGGGACCAGGCAGCACCTGGGGCAACCAGAGCCCGCAGTGACTCAGCAGTGCTGGAATCACCAATCTCCTGCAGCGCTCCTGCCCCCTGGGGGCCACCACTCACCTGGTGGGGCTGGGCTCCACACAGACCCCTCCCTCCCCAGGTGGCAGGAGGGCAGGAGGGCAGGGCTGCCCCTCCCCCAGCAGGCCTGCTACTTAGCAGTAGCTGGTCCACTTCTGTGTGGCAAGTTCAGACAGTGACTCTCCCGCCCAGCACTTTCAGGGGTCCAAAGTCCAAGCTAGCTCTGGCCTGTGCAGCCCCTCCATCCAGATAATTGAGTGAGTAGGGGGCAGCCCGGGGAGCCCCAGTAGCCAGGGAGACATGCCCACTGAGCCTTCCCCTGAGACAGGCTCAGAGGCACCCCCTCCCCACCGGACTCCCCCACCCGCTCTGTCCTTGGACTGGAGACCCACGCCCTACTCACCCACCCACAGATAGCTTTCGGGGCTGGCAGGCCCAGGGGCTGGTCTGGCGAGGGCCAATAGTTGAACTACCCTGAGGGGCGGCTGTGGGCAGAGTCCAGCTCCCATCGATCGTCCCCAGGCAAAGGAGTGGGAATAAGACTGAGGCCCAGGCCATGCCCAAAAGTGTCTAACTCAGGAGGCAGGCACTGCACAAGACCCCAGGTGGTCCTGCTGTACCTGTACTCAGGGCTCATTCCAAACTGAGGGCCATGCGTGAGCCGCCAGGGATGGGGCCCCTGTCCCCCACCTCCCTGCCCCTGCTCTCCTCACCCAGTACCGAGGCTTGCTTCTGTCCAGGGGCCAGGGCCTGTGCCGCGGGCGGGGACACGGAGCTTTTGTCTGCAAGGCCGTGGCACAGTTTGCACTCCCCTTAGCTGCGTGCGCAGATCCAGCAATAAAACTTTGCATCAGGCCCTGGCTGTCCTTTCTTGGGCTGGGGGTGGGGGAGCTAAAATTTCACAGGTCCTGCACATCTGTTAAGTGCCCAGGGCTGGCCGGGACATGAAGTGTGAAGGCCGTGGCTTCTGTGGAGAAGCGTTTGGCCTGAGGTGACCCGGGACAGGGTGGGGGGCACCTGGGGGCTACAGGACCAAGTTGTGCCTCTTGAGGGAGGTTGAGGAGGAGGAGCTAAGGGAGAGGTCCCCTGGGACAGGCTTGGATCCAGAAGGAGTTTGAGGTAGGGGCTCAGTCTGGCGGGGACAGTAGAGTGTGTAAGATGGGGGTGTGTGCAGGGCTGGGGGGTCGCGGATTGGGAAGGAGGAGCCAGGCTGGGATTGGGGAGGAGGAGCCAGGCTGGGCGCCGTGGGCAGGTGCTAAGTCCCAGATCCCTTAGCTTGAGCTTTCTTTGAGGCTCCAAGGCAGGCAACGCTTTGGAGCTGGGACTTCTGGGAGGCTGGGCTTGAGGTGGGGCAAGGGAGGCCCTCAACCCAAGGGCAAAATTTAAGGTGCTGCCAAGAAATTCAGTTACGGGCAGGTGCTCAACACAGCAGTGACAGGGCCCTTCGAGATGCCCTCATCCTGTATCAGAGTTGCCTGGGTTCCAGTCCTGGCTCCATTTCCAATTCCAGCTTCCTGCTAGTGCACACCTTAGGCGGCAGTGCCTATTTTGGGCATTTGGGAAGTGAGCAGTGATTGGAAGATTTCTCTCCATCTGTGTGTGTGTGTCTTGATTCTGCCTTTCAAATAAATAAAAAGTAAATAAAATGTTTTAAAAATTAAATAACCAAATAATATATTAATGCAGTGTTTTTTTTTTAAATATGTATTTTTTTAATTTGAAAGGCAAAGTTACAGAGAGTAAGAGAGAGAGAGAGAGAGAGCACGCGCTTTCATCTGCTGGGTCAGTCCCCAAATGGCCACAACAGCCCAGGCTGGGCCAGGCCGAGGCCAGTAGACGGGAATTCCCATTTGAGCCTCCCACAAGGAAGCTGAATCAGAAGCATAGGGTCCAGGACTCAGCCCAGCACTCCACTGTAGGATGCGGGCTTAACCACAACACGCAGGGCCCCTCGGTGCCTGTGCTAATAAGGTAAAGCCTCCGCCTGCAGTGCCGGCATCCCACAGGGGGCCTGATTGAGTCCCAGCTGTTCCACTACCAATCCAGCTCCCTGCGAGTGCACCTGGGGAAGCAGGGGAAGATGGTCCAGGTACTTGGGCCCCTGCACCCACATGGGAGACCTGGAAGAAGCTCCTGGCTCCTGGCTTTGGCCTAGCTACCCCAGGCCTTTGCAACCTTTTGGGGAGTGAACCTGAGGATGGAAGACCTCTCTGTCTTTCCCTCTCTCTGTCTATAACTGTGCCTTTCAAATAAATAAAATAAATCTTAAAAAAAAAATCTATGCTCGCTTTGGCAGCACAGTACTAAAGTTGGCACAATGCAGAGATGAATAACGTGGCATTTGCTGAAGGATGACCAGCAAATCCGTGAAGTGTTTCATGCTTTTAGGGGCTTAGGGAGCCCTGCCTTGTCGGGTAACCATCAACAAAGTCTGCTGCGCCCAGGGGAAAAAAAAAAACACAACTTTCTCTCCGTCTCCCCCCCTCTCTATAACTCTCACTTTCAATAAATAAATAAATATAAATGCATATATTTTTAAAAATGTATTTATTTGAGAGGCAGAGGCACAGACAGGGAGAGAGGTCTTCCATCCACTGGTTCACTCCCCAGATGGCTGCAATGGCTGGAGCTGAGCTGATCCAAAGCCAGGAGCCAGGAGCTTCCTCTAGGCCTCCCACGTGGGTACAGCGGCCCAAGGCCTTGGGCCATCTTCCACTGCTTTCCCAGGCTACAGCAGAGAGCTGGGTCAGAAGTGGAGCAGCTGGGACTCGAACCAGCGGCCATATGGGATGCTGGCACTGCAGGTGGCAGCTTTACCTGCTATGCCACAGCGCTGGCCCCAAATAAATATTTTTTTTAAAACTAGAAGTCACTGTTGACCATATTTAAGGACCTAGTTCGGTGGTAGGAAGCACACTATCACCACCCCCATCTCCACAACCTTTTTGTCTTATAAAACCGAACTCTGTGCAGTTCACAGGGAACTCCCATCCCCCCCCCCCCCCCCCCCCCCGCCCCGGCAGCCACTGCCTCTTTCTGTCTTCATGACTGCGGTTTCTGGGCACCACATGTGAGTGGAGTCATCCAGTGTCTGCCTGCTGGTGACTTAGCATGATGCTCTCCAGGTCCATCCAGGCTGTACCCTGTGTCAGAATTTCCTCTCTTTTATGGCTCTGCCACATTGGCGGACCCAGCTGTCAATCAGCGGACCCTTGGGTGGCTTCAGTGTCTTAGCTGCCATGACTAATGCTGCTATGAACATTAGTATACAGAACTCTCTTTGAGGACCTGTTTGCAACTCTTTTGGATATATACCCAGAACTTGAATTGGTGAATCATATGGTCATTTTTTTTTAAGTTTCTATTTTTAAAATTTTATTGGAGGGGCCGGCGCTGTGGTGTAGTGGGTTAAGACAGAGCCTGCAGTGCTGGCATCCCGTAGGGGCACCGGTTTGAGTGCCAGCTGCTCTAATTTTGACCCAGCTCCCTGCTAATGGCCTGGGAAAGCAGTGGAGGATGGTCCAAGTGCTTGGGCCCCTGCACCCATGTGGGAGACTTGGACTAAGCTCCTGGCTCCTGGCTGTGGCCTGGCCCAGCCCCAGCTGTTGCAGCCATTTGGGGAGTGAACCAGTGGATGGAAGATCTCACTATGTGTCTCCCCTCTCTCTGTAACTGTGCCTTTCAATCTTTAATAAAAAAAATTTTACTGGAAAGGCAGAGAAACACAGACAGACAGAGCTCCCATCCACTGATCTTCCTCCCAAATGGCTGCAACAGTCTGGCTCACAGACCAAAATCAGGAGCTGGAAACTGAATCAAAGTTCCCCACATGGGTGGCAGGGACCCAAGGGCTTGAGTCATCCCCTGCTGCCTCCAGGGGTGTGTATTAACAGGAAGCTGGGATCAGAGCTGGGACTTGAACTGGCACACTCCAATGTCGGATGTAGGCACCCCCACCAGCTTCATCCCGGGGCCAAAAACCTACCCTGGTGATTCCATTTTAGATGTTTTGAGAAGCCGCTTTCCAAAGTGACTATACCATTCTGCATTCCTACCAATAGTGCACAAGGATCCAGGCGCTCTACACCCCTGCCACCCTAGCACTACACCGTCATCCATAGCAGCCTGCCTAATGATGGGAGATGCTATCTCATCATGTTTTTCTTTAAGGTTTATTTATTTATTTAAAAGGCAGAGGGTGTGTGTGTGTGTGTGTGTGTGTGAGAGAGAGAGAGAGAGAGAGAGAGAGAGAGAGAGAGAGAGAAAGATGAGACAGAGGGAGATATAGAAGATCTTTCATACACTGGTTCACTCCCTAAATGGCTGCGACAGCCAGGGCTGAGCCAGGCTGAAGCCAGGAGCCAAAAACTCCATCCAAGTCTTCCAGATGGGTCACAGGGGCTCTGCTGTTGGCATCATCTGCTGCTTTCCCAGGCACATAAGTAGGGAGCTGGATCTGACACGGAGCAGCCGGGACTCCAACGGCGCTCTCCAGTATGGCGTGAGGATCATAAGCAGTGCTTCACCACTGTGTGTGTGTGTGTGTGTGTGTGTGTGTGTGTGTGTGAAGATTTATTTTATACAGAGAGTGAGGGAGAGACAGAGACAGAGAGAGGTCTTTCATATGCTGGTTCACTCCCCAAATGTCTGAAACAGCTGGAGCTGGGCCAGACAGAAGCCAGGAGCCTGGAGCTTCTTCCGGGTCTCCCTCATGGGTGCAGGAGCCCAAGGACTTGGGCCATCTTCTACTGCTTTCCCAGGCTACAGCAGAGAGCTGGACGGGAAGAGGAGCAGCAGGATTAGAACCGGTACCCATATGGGATGCCTGTGCTTCAGGCCAGGGCGTTAACCTGCTGTGCCGGCCCCTGTGTTGTGGTTTTGAACGGCATTTCCCTAGACTGGTGATGTTGAGCATATTATCCTGTGCCATTGGCCATTTGCATATCTTCTCTGGAGAAATGCCTGTTCAAGTCCTTTGCCTGTTTTTGAGTCGTGTTATTTTGTTGTTGTTGGGTGTTAGGAGATCTCCTTACACTCTGGAGGATAATCCCTTACCAGATATGATCTGTAAACACTGTCTCACAGTCTGTTCACAGCCTTTTCACTGTTTTACTTATTTCTAACAGTTACCTTTTTTCCAGAACATTAAAATTGTTGCATGTTGAAACCATTGAAAAATTTGATAGTAGGTATATTAAAACTCATTATTTTAAGCTTAGATTTTATACCTAAAGCAGACTTTGTTATAATTTTATTTTCTTGGCTTTAATGGGGCCAAAAACCAATACTATTTTTTTAAAGATTTATTTATTCATGGCTGGCGTCGTAGCTCACTAGGTTAATCCTCTGCCTGCGGTGCCAGCACCCCGCGTTCTAGTCCCGGTTGCTCCTCTTCCAGTCCAGCTCTCTGCTGTGGCCCGGGAAGGCAGTGGAGGATGGTCCAATTGCTTGGGCCTTGCACCCGCATGGGAAACCGGGAGGAAGTGCCTGGCTCTTGGCTTCGGATCGGTGCAGCGCACTGGCCATTTGGGGGGTGAACCAACAGAAGGAAGACCTTTCTCTCTGTCTCTCTCACTGTCTAACTCTGCCTGTCAAAAAAAAAAAAAGATTTATTTATTTACTTGAAAGTCAGAGTTACACAGAGAGAGGAGAAGCAGAGAGAGAGAGAGAGAGAGAGAGAGAGAGAGAGAGGTTTTCCATCCGCTGGTTCACTCCCCAATTGGCCACATGACTGGAGCTACCCCAATCCGGAGCCAGGAGCTTCTTCCGGGTCTCCCACATGGGTGCAGGAGCCCAAAGACTTGGGCCATCTTCTACTGCTTTCCCAGGCCACAGCAAAGAGCTGGATCAGAAGTGGAGCAGCCGGGACTAGAACCAGTGCCCATCTAGGATGCCGGCACTGCAGGCAGCAGCCTTACCTGCTATGCCACAGCGCCAGCCCTAGTACTATCTTTTTAATCTTAAGAGATCTGCATCTGGAACGAATCATCACTAACATTTTTCATAAAAATCTGTATATAGGGGCATGTGTTTTTCCTGGGGGCCAGAGTGGGAACAGAGGCTGAAAGGAGTGGTGTGCTGGGGGACCCCCGGTGTGACGGAGAGAGCCAAGTGTCTCAGCAACCGGGGTCTGGGCCTGTGGAGCTGACCCAGCCCATGTGATGCCCCCAGCAAAGGTTGTTGAGTGCATCTGTGGCCACACATGGGAGACGTCCTGGGGGCAGACAGAGGGCAGAGTGTCCCCATGCCCGAGGGATCTAGGAGCTTCAGTGGGCTGGACAGGCAGCAGGCGGGGCACACAGGTCCGAGCAAGGCAGAACACCGGCTGGCCTAGGGACGTGGCAGCGTGTGGGGCAGCCACAGAGGCAGCTCAGAAACCTCAGGGAAGGGTGGGGATGGGCTGGGGGTGCAGGACTCCTGCTGGGCAGTCTTGGGCCTGGGTGAGCCGGGGCTGTTTGTCTCTGCTAAGGACTTCTGCCTGAACAGGTTGCTCAGGGGGATGAGGTGGGCGGGGGACAGTGACAGAGGAGGGATTTAGTGGGCAGAGGCCAGGCCCAGGCCAGGACACTTCCCAGCGGTGAGGGGTGGGGAGGGGAGGGCGGCTATCAGGAGACAGCAGGCAACGGGGCCTTCGCTATAGCCACTCTGTCTTGATGACCAGGTCCCCAGCCCTCCTGGGTTACGGACACAGAAGAGCCTGAACACCAGGTGGGGGCTGGACTCGCCCCCAGGGAGTTCTCTCCCACAGATAGTCCTGGCCCTGGACCCTGGGGGCTAGGGATGCTGTACCCTGTCCATCCCCGGCAAATGTGGGGGCCCTGAGTCACCCGGACTGAAGCTTCCTCAGCTGTATGTACGGCATCGGTGTAATTACACCTTAGGGAGCAGGATCAATGGGTGCCGCTGCCTGATTCACAGTCCAGGGCAGAGATCAGAGAGACCTGGCTTGGAGTCAGCTCCAGTGCCACGCCCCAGTCTTGTAGGCGGGGGCATTTACTGTGAGTGCCTCCAGCCACCACAATCCCTGCCTGACCTACAACCTCCAGGTGCCCCTGAGGGTCTCCATGGCCTTGGGCTCTGGCTCCGGTGGGCCTAACCTGGCCCGCCACTGACCAGAGATTAGACAAGACTGGTGGACGGTTAATGCCACTGACGTCAGGGTCTGGCTGGGTGGCCGCAGAAGGCCTGGTCCCTCCCCACAGGCAGTAGCACAGCCCATGTGATCTGGGCTCATTAAGCCGCTTCAGAGGCCAGAGAAGCTGGGGGCCAGATCTCGGGGAAGGAAGGGCAGGCACACCAGGGCTGCAGGGCAGGCCTTGGCCGAGAGGTCAGCCACCATTGGAGCCCTGGGTAGGGGAGGGACTAGCCAGGAGGGCTGCCTCTCTG